GTGGCCTAAACGGAAGCCTTCCAAAAATGCCCTGCATTTGTGAGGTTCTCTTGGTTTTGGTGGGTTCCACAATGAAACATGAATCAATCTGAATATGAGCAGTGTTATGCAAATGTTTGTTTCTAGCTTGCCTATTGAACTTCCGCAGAAATAAGAAGAAATCAATTCTCTATATCCTTCAGACGCAACATAGAGCTTTAAGCTCTACTTCTTAGCACAACCAAAATGTCAAATAGACAAGTTGTTAAGAAATCAAGTAATTTATTTTAGATAGAAGAGAATTAAAATACATGTATATTATTAATTTTTCTAGTTATGCTAAAGTGATATTCTTGGAATAACACTTCCAGGATGTTACTTTTGGTGGTGAAATTTCTTTATGATAATAGCAAGATTCTTTAAAAGATAAAAATATTTTTGTTTGAGAAAGCAGGAGAAAAATAGACAACAAAATACTTTTGCCCATTACCTTCTGCCCCCTGCTGTTTTATTTTTACTTCTTGCTGTATTTACGTGTGCATTTTGTATCCTTACTGTATATTAAAGTGTTCTCTATTTTTAATTAATTTTTGTATTTTTTTCCTACCTGGTGTATTGCTACTACCTCAAACTCTGCCTCAAATTTGCTTAAAAACCAAACTCATTATTTTCTATTCCCAATCTCTTTCTCTAGAGGTCTTTGATGTTTTTAGTGATAGTAAGCAGAGAAGAGGTCTCACTTCCACCACTTGAAGGCAATCGTCAAATACATGCAGTGAAGATTATGTTTTTGAAACCCAACAGACACTGTTGCTTGTTGAGGGCATTGAGCCTGAAGCTGGCTCTCTTTGTTAGAAAGGAGACGATTCAGGGAGAGAGAGGTATCAGAGACAGAGGGGCAATACTGAGAGTTGAGAAAACCAGACCCTGCAAGAGAGCAAATAGGACGTTAACTTAACATGTGAGTCAAAGCCTTTTTAAAAGCTTATTTCTGTGCCACCTGTAGTCCACTTGCTCACGTCTCCATCCGTCTCTGACCCTGAAAGTAGTGCCCAGGCTTCAAGACCTGTTCTTAACTTCCTCCTCCCTAAAGCCTTCTTTCAGTTCTTAAGCCAGGTGGTTCTCAGCAAGGTCGGTTCTGCCTGCCAGCGCACATTTGCATTATCTGGAGACTTTTGGGTTGTCACGACTGGGGAGAGGCGTTGCTAATGGCCTCTAGCGGTAGACGTCTAGGATTCTGCTAAGCCCAAGATGACCCTAAAAAGAGAATTATCCATCATAAAATGTCACTAGTGTTGAGAATTCTAGCACTGAACCACCAATACTTACATTAAAAAAAAGAAAAGAAAAGTCAGTAGTGCCAAGGCTGAGAAACCTTGCCTTAGAAGATGTAATTTCTTCATACATTTGTCATGGTTTTTTGTGCAATACCTGTCTAGGCTTATGTTTTATTTATTTTATCAGAGTATAAACTCCTTGAGGGAAGGAACATATATATTTATCTTTATCTCCACAGCATTAAACACTCAAGAATGATGACCAAGAGAAGCAAATGTATATAGATCTTGTAGCAAAAAGCTATCTAGCAGTAATGTAATTTAGTATTTTAAAATCATCTCATCAAATTCAAGGACTATTTTATTTCTAATTTTTATTCAGTTATAGGCTCTCAACTTGAAAAAGACCCTAAGCATAGTCTAGTCCAATTGCTCTTCTTTTCCAAGGGGCTTGTTTTGATTTGCTAAATACTGAATTGAAATTCAATTGCAATCGTCCTCAGGTGCCAGACTGTGAAATTGGTATTTCCTCATTTAGACATTATCAAATATATGCTAGCCCTCAGTGCATGGATATATATACTGTGTGTAGGAATTCATTAAGAATATTAATTGCAGAAAAAGTCACTAGATGATCTTTATAGTTCCTTTCAACCCTGAGAATCAGCAATTTAAATTGCTGGCCTTACTAATGTATTTACTTACAATGTGAGGCAAAAAGAGACTTGAGCATGACATGATTCCTCTGCATAAATATTTGGTTTATTAATTTCTCATTAGCCCAGAGCTATTCAGATATTCTACATATAATAAATTCCTACCCTTTAATTACTCAATACCAAAGACACCTTTGATTTTTTACCTAATGACCAGTACATTCTAAATGCAACCTCTCTGTTGAACTCTTATGGAAATTTCCCCTAGTATTATTGGTAGTTTTTAAAGTGTTATATACTTTTTTCTTTTCAGGTAGATTGCAAAGACCTTAAGGACAAAAATAATTCTATCTTGAAAAAAAATCCTGCCACATAGAGTGAAAATCTCCTACATGACAGACAGTGTCTAATTGCTCAATGACAAGACTTGGGTTTCTCAGTACTTGGAAGTGAATGTATTCCCTTGTATATTAAATTTCATAAGTATCTTAAATGACCTCAGTAAAGAAATATGAAGCTCAGTGACCATTTTAGTTAATAAAAAAGTTAAGATTCAAGAACATTTTGTAAGACAAAAAAGCATGTAAAGAGAAAATTGTAAATGAGTGCATCTTAACAAAAAGTTACTGATATTTCATTAAGCAAAAACTATATTGCTATCAGTAGAAAATAGGGAAAATATTGCCAAGATGCTGGCAGATATGGAAAGAAAAACCTTTGTGACCAATAGTCAAAATAAAACCTTGTTTATAAATTATGGGTGAACATTAATTTTGCTGTTTTTGAAATACAATTGCCTTTTTCTCAGACACAGAAAATGTGGATTCCAGACCCAGCTTTGCACTAATTGCCTGTGTAACTTTAGATAAATCACTTATTTATGGAACTACTGGAACTACTTTTTCATTTTAGGAATTTATGAAAGCTGGACAATTTGTTTCTAAGATTGCTTCCAACTTTAACTTTATATTTTTTCTAAAGATTTATAGTTAAAACTTCTTTCCTAAATATTATCTCATTTTATCATCTCAACAGTTTCGTAAGGGAGGCCTAGAAATATTTTCCTTCTACTAGTGAAAAAATAAACTCAGGCAGTAAAGTGATTTACCCAAGCCTGGTATGTAGCAGTCAGTAATGCTTCAAGATAATTCTCGAAACCCCTCTCTCAGAGGAAATATACAATTAATCTTTAAAATATCTTATTTTTTCTGTTTGAAAACTAAGCTTTTAAAAAATAGTCCTTCAATAATACATGTGTCATACGTTTTAAAAGTATAAACATTTACATTTTATGGTTTGATCCAGGGATAGCCAAGAAGATTCAATACACATGTCAGCCTCTATTGATTGGTATAGCTCCCTGAAGTACTGTGTTGAGAATAATTTTGAGGCCAAGTTTGGGCTCAGCGGGAAAGTGTGCTCTGTGAGATTAAGCAAGAACTCTGTTGATGATGGGGAAGGCAGGGTGGGTGGCAGAATGACTGTGGGGATAAGAGCCTTCTAAAGAGGTGGCCGTAGCACTCAGTAATGTTTTACCAAGGGTTTGATATTGACTTGCCTTAGCTATAGTTTTAATTAGTATTATTTAAAAAGCTTGGGGCTTCTCCAGTGGCTCAGTGGTAAAGAATCGGCCTTCAATGCAGGAGACCCAGATTCAGTCTCGTCAGAAAGATCCCCTGGAGAAGGAAATGGCAATTCACTCCAGAATTCTGCCGTGGGAAATCCTATGGACAGAGGAGCTTGGAGGGCTACAGTCCACGGAGTGGCAAAGAGTAGGACAGCTGAGGGAATAACCGCACACACACATATAAAAAGGGTAATTAACTGAGGAATCTTTTCACAAATAATGGCCCTCTTTTTAAGTTAAAGGAGTGTCTGTCTTCAAGTACATAGTTTGGGTATTTTGATTTGAAAAAATGCAGAGGGTGTTTCTAGAGTTAAAATGAGCTGCAACTTTACAGCTTGATCTGAAAACCAGAGTGGATTCAATATAATATATATATGCACATATTGACATGCATATTTACTATACAGATATTTATTATATTAATTTATCTTATTATATTAACGTGTAATAACATATATAGCAAATATATATTGTGAGTGGTAAAAACCATTGGTCTCTGGATTATTCTGTGTAAATGTATGTTATATCATTCTAAGAAAGGTCGAAGATGCTGTGAACCAGTGGCTGCCATTTATTACCTGCCTGCTGGGTGCTGTTCATCTAGTCACACCTTTACATCCTCCTTTTCCATTCTACTAAGCTTTGCAATGCTTTTTAAGTTGGGCATGGTTATTTCTTTTTAAGCAATGAATAGCTGCACCTTACAGAAATTTAGTAATCATCCAAGATGATATGGTTAAGAGATGTCGTGGAGTCAGAACGCAGACCACGTTTTGTCAGGTTTCAAAGTCCTTTTCCTTAACAAAACCAGGCCACGTCTGGCTGAAGTTTGAGGACCAGCTGTTTCTTAGTGATCATCTGTGTCTTACTTGTGTCTAATGACAACTTTTGGATTTGATTTCATTGTCTTTACTGGTTGAAAGTTTCAGAGAGGAGAGAGAGGCATACCACAAGGGAGAATGACTATTTTCTAATATTTTCCAATATGACGACGAGTTGTTTTTCTGTAATGTGTCAGTTTTGCCCAATAAGCACAACACTGGGCTTCCCTTGTGGCTCAGCTGGTAAAGAATCCACCTGCAATGCGGGAGACCTGGGCTCAATCCCTGGGTTGGGAAGATCCCTTGGAGAAGGGAAAGGCTACCCACTGCAGTATTTTGGCCTGGAGAATTCCATGGACTGTATAGTCCATGGCATTGCAAAGAGTCAGACACGACTGAGCGACTTTCACTTTCACTGGGTTGAGAGAATTTACTTCAGTTGAGACAAAAAGTTTCCTGAAAATTTTTTGTTGTTGTGGAAATATGCATGAAGTATGCTTTTGTACCATTCATGTACTTAAGTTTGGTTCTGGAAAAAAGTGTCTTGTAATTTGCAAATGTATTTTATTAACAGAAGTATATAAAGTGGTCATAACTTAAGTCATAAATGTTACTGAGAATGTCATTTTCTTTTTTCCAGATTCCTTGGTGTTACTCAGTTTTCACCTACACATGCCAGAAAGGCATTTCCTTGTTTTGACGAGCCAATCTACAAGGCTACTTTCAAAATCAGCATCAAGCATCAAGCAAGCTATTTATCTTTATCCAATATGCCAGTGGAAACTTCTGTGTTTGAGGAAGATGGATGGGTTACGGATCACTTTTCACAGACCCCTCTCATGTCCACATACTATTTAGCCTGGGCAATTTGCAACTTCACATACAGAGAAACTACCACCAAGAGTGGGGTTGTAGTAAGTATTTTAAGCTTAATGTTGTTTTTGGATAATATACGCTGATATCTTGATTAACAATGAATCATTTTTTTCTTCTTCCCATCTTATATAGCTGAATTCTTCTCTTAATCCTTGGAAGGAAAATTATCTTCTTGGTTTCAGAGTCAGAGAGGAACTTCTCTTCCTTACCCAGCCTTCTTATTAATTTAATCTCTTTCCCACCCCTGACATTCCTGTTCCTTTTGATCTCCCGATTATCTCAGCAACAGCTGTTGTCTGTTATGGGAAATTGCCTGTTGTTATTTATATGATGGTAAAACTTCTTTTTATTATAAAATATTTCACATATAAAGAAAATGTGGAGAATATTATAAGCTCCATATACCTACTAGCCAGCTCTATAGAATCTAAACATTTTACCACCTTTTTCCAGTCTCATTTAATTTTTGAAAAAGTGAAACATGTTGGATAGAGTTGAAGCCCTCTGTGGACCCCTGCCTGATATTATTGCCTTGTCTCCTACCTCCTGCCTGGCCCTGAATTTAACTTTTGTCATTTCTATGCCTATTATCACACAATTATTAGGTATATTATTCATTATTAAGTATAAATCTGTTTAAATAATTCCATGCTTTAAAATTTCATAAAAGTGGTTTTATATTATACATAATCATTTCTTCAACTTATTTTTATTTGATTTCATTTTTTGCTTAAAATTATGTTTTTGTGGCTTATCTGAATAGAGTGGTTGAATGAATATATTAAAATTTCCCTTCCTCCTATAGATGAACAATTTAATGTTGCCTGATTTCTCAGTGATTAACTACAATGCTCAGTGAACATTTTTGCACCTAAATTCTCTGCTGATGTGCTAGAATTTCTATAATGTATGAAGCTTCTCTTAACCCATAGCACCCATGTGTATAGAAATATGTACTTAGAGAAGGTGTTATATAGGAAGCCTAGAGAATTCACTCTGTGTCTTAAATTTATAACAAAAGTCAATTGGATTCTTTGTGATCATTACCATTTGTGACACCATTATTTCAGGTGCTTTTAACATGCTATTGTCTTGCATTAATCAGACTAAAGCAGGCCATGCTCACTTAACAACTTTCTCTTCATTTCAATGGCTTATGCAAGAAATATGCATTTAAGTTTCATGTCAACCCTAAAGCAAGGTATTATAATTCCATTTTTCCAAGCAAATAAATTTAGGTGACGCCAGTGGTAAAGAACCTGCCTGCCAATACAGGAGACATTACAGATGTGGGTTTGATCCCTGGGTTGGGAAGATCCCTTAGAGAAGGAAATGGCAATCCACTCCAGCATCCTTGCCTGGAGAATCCCATGGACAGAGGAGCTTGGTGGTGTATGGTCCATGGGGTCGCAAAGGGTCAGACATGATTGACGAGACTTAGCATGCACAATTTAGGTTTAAAGAGGTGAAATAATTTTATCAGAGCAAAAGGTAAGTGAGTGGTAGGGCTGCAAGACTAACTTCTTATGGTATGACCCTACATTTTGGGCTCTCAGCCCCCACGCCCCTCCTCATGCTGTATTTACCATTTCACCTGTGTGTCTATATGAGAGTTCAGGTAATGGTTCTTTCCATACAACGGGCATTGTATCTGGTGTTACTCAGACATAACAGAAAAAGTGAATAGAAATCTATTTTCTTATTCTGTAGGAAGTCCATAGCTTTATAACACCTAAATTTTGAATAATAGGTTTGGATAAATAAATTTTTCTCGCTGTTAACTTTCAATTTAAATCACCACAGAACCTATTTAAAAAATAAAATTTGCTTGCATACAAAATTAATGCCATTATTAAAGAACTGTATATGGTGAGTTAATCTACATAATCATTAAAAATAATACCCCTAAATACTGACTGTAGAAGACTAGAAAAAAGACATTTTGCTCTTTTGGACTTATACTTATTTAATATGTTGAATTCCTCTGGTATTTCTTGATATCTCCTATGGATAGATACTTCAAGGCTATTCATGTTGGACTGTACAAAGAAAAGGAATACTAATATATTTCATTTCCTTTTACATCTTCAAAAGTTGATGAGAGTTGCTGTGGGTCTCGTAGGAGCATAGGGTACATTGGAAGTGTTTTTCTCTTAGTATAATTTCTTTATCCTAAAAGTATTCTCAGCTCTACACAATTATACTTGTTGCTAAGTGATCCATGTTTTAGAATCAGATACACCCCAATTATTTAGATGTGACTTTTATTAGAGTTAAGAATTCAAGTAATTAGTAAGCAGTAAAACATTCCTACTTAATTATTTTTATGGAGAAAAGAGAAAGCATGCTACTAGAGAACGTTGGAAGGTCAACTGAAATAAAATTTTTGTTGTATAATCTAAAAATACTAACAGTAGTGAAAAGGAAAGCAAAATTGCTGTTGGGAGCCCTTATTTATCAACTGTGGAACTAAAATGTAAAACCTGGTTTTCTTGTTTTGCCACCCATGGAAATCAGGTCTATTTTCTTTTTTTGCCATTCCTCTTTATTACTGAGAACACACGGAATGACATTTCTGAACTCTTTAACAGCTGGGAGTGGAAGTTTAGCTTTAGAATCTTGGGTGTGGGATGGTCATATGAAATCCAGGTGATCATTTTGAATCAGAAACTGAAGCAGTTTCCTTTGAAATATGAGAGAGTAACTTGAGTAGCATCTTAATATACAGCTGAATGGAAGCAGAAGGTCAAGTATTTGAAGCATCATTATTTGCTTATCCAGTTATGTGTATTTTGCAAGGCACTGATTAGTCGCTCAGTTGTGTCCGACTCTTTGCAACCCTGTGGACTGCGAGACTCCTTTATCCATGGAATTCTCCAGGCAAGAATAGTGGAGTGGGTTGCTGTTCCATTCTCCAGGGGATCTTCCTGACCCATGGATCAAACCTGGCTCTCCTGCATTGCAAGCAGATTCTTTAGCACCTGAGCCACCAGGGAAGCCCTTGCAAAGCACTATCCTAAGTAATTAAGAAGATTAAGAAAGTCTAAGATCCTTCCAATAGTGTGAGTGAAGGGCAACTTTAAAGTGGAATCCATGACTGTCGAATGTTAAGTTTCCTGTTGCTACTGCTAAGTCACTTCAGTTGTGTCCAACTCTGTGCGACCCCATCCCTGGGATTCTCCAGGCAAGAACACTGGAGTGGTTGCCATTTGTTTCTCCAATGCATAAAAGTGAAAAGTGAAAGTGAAGTCGCTCAGTCATGTCCGACTCTTCGCGACTCCATGGACTGCAGCCTACCAGGCTTCTCCGTCCATGGGATTTTCCAGGCAAGAGTACTGAAGTGGGGTGCCATGTTAAGTTTACCCATCCCCAAAATGGCTTAGCATTTTTCTAGTTAGTTGGCGACATTTAGAAATTGGGAAATGGCACATAACATTATTTATATCTGGCTTCTCTTGAAAAATTGGGAAATCTTGTGACAGCAGGCTCACATTCTCACTTGGCAACATTTGTTCATTCATTTATTCCTTCAGCAAACTATCACAGAGTTTAGTGCCATAGAAACAAGCATTTTATTGCTTTCAGAGTTTCAGTGGGTCAGAAATTTAAAAGACCCAACAGAAACACTTTGTCTTTGCTCAGTGATGTCAAGGGGCTCAACTGGGGAGACCTGATGGCTGACTTGACAGCTTGAAGCCAGGATCATCTGGACCATCTTCACTAATTTGTCTGATGATTGTTCTGTTAGTCTTCTGGGATATCAAATAGGACGTCTGGCCACAGCATTTATGTGCGGCCTTTTCATATGGTCTGGGCTTGCTCACAGCATCGTGGCCTCAGCCTTGTTGGATTTCTTATATGGTTGTTCAGAGTTCTAAAGATGAGTGTCTTAAAAGAACTATGTGAAAGCTGTATGGCCACTGGTGACTTATCCTCTGGGGTCACACAGCATATTGGGCTTCCCTGGTGGTTCAGTTGGTAAAGAATCCATCTGCAATGTAGGAGACCCAGGTTCGATCCCTGGTTGGGGAAGATCCCTTGGAGAAGGAAATGGCAACTCCCTCCAGTATTCTTGCCTAGAAAACCTCATAGTCAGAGGAGTCTGGAGGACTACAGTCCGTAGGGTTTCAAAGAGTTAGACACAACTGAGCGTCTGAATATACATACATATATATATATATATATATATATATATATATATATCACTTCTATCACATTTTAATAATTGCAAGTGAGTCACTTAAGGATAGCCTGAGCATGTAATCCAGGGGTCATCACATTAAGAGTGTCTGAAGTCCCAGTAGTTTCTGAAGTCACATCCTTGGCTTCATCATGTGTTCCCGACAGTGACCTGCATTTTTCTTTTTCTTTCCTAAGGGCATTTCTTATTTTAAGACTATTTTGCCAGAAAGTGTGTTAATTTTGAGCTCATCAAAGCCTGGCTCTTTTCTGTTTCTTCTGTTTTGCTTGGAAACTGGGTAGTTTGTTCTGAAGCTCATGTCTCCTGGTTTGTATTTTTCATATCCAGGGAGAATTCGCTTGCAAATGTATTTTAATAATTATTTCTTATTTTCCATGGTACTACATGCAACAGCGTTGCCACACTTTCTTTCACTTAATAACAAAGGTCCTCTTTCGAAATTTCAGCTTCCAACACATTTACCTTAATGTCTTTCAAGCTGCCACCACCAGCTTCCTCAAGGGCTATAAATCTTTGGCTAGAGGATCCCCTCAAGGGTCTTCCAGCTTTTGCCCACAGTTCAGTCCCAAAGCCAGTGTCACATGTTTTAAGGCTTTTGTTGGGGCAGTGCCCCACTCCCAGGTACTGGGATAGTTTCCGGTTGGTATTGCGGAATGATAAGTCACTCTAAATCTTAGCAATAAAACAGAATAAGCAGCGCTTGTGCCTGTTGCAGTCTGTGGGTCAGGAGTACGGACAGCACGGAGCGGGGCATGATTCATCTCTGTTCTTTGCTGTCTCAGCCGGGAAGGCTTGACTCCCGGGAGTGACCTGACAGCTGAGGGCCAGAGTCATCGA